TCATTTCAAGGCCTGAACGTGGTTATGGGATGTGCTGTGCTCTGGCTTTTAACTGTGGCTGCTGTGGGTATGGAGGCTGCTGAAAGGCTCATCTGTCAGGAAGGAGCATCCCCTCCCCTTAGGCATCAGTTTGACACTGGAGCAGAACAGAATTTTTAATAAATAAATCCCATCTGTCTTTCTCCTCTAGAAAAACAACCGCCTGTACCAGGTCTCCGTGGGGCAGTGCATGAAGGTGGTAGATCCACTTAGCCACAAAGGGTACGTGACCATGGCCATCTGTGACGGGTCCCTTCCTCAGCAGTGGCATTTTGAGAGCTGAGACAGCGAGGATGCGGCTGAGAAGTGTTAAGCCAAGACCTGACTCCCTTTCAGCCATGATTTTAAGTCATTCTGGAGGGCTTTGCGAGGAGCCCTTAGCTGCTCACCCGGCCCAACCATTGCAAGGACCCTTTAGAAATCCTCTGCTACGAAGAGCTGTGTGCGTGAGAAGGTCCAGGGGGGTCACTGGTTCCCGGTCAGGTGCAGCATTAACAGCAGCAGCCCTACTGCAGAACAACAGGTAGAAGTGCAATTTATCGGCGGTTCCTTGGATTATCCTGGATTATTGAACTGTTTTCAAGTAAGAGAAATTATTAGAGCAACGTAATTTAAATTGTGAGATTTTAGCTTTGTGAATCTTTTAAATGACGATGGCAGAAAGCAGTCCTCTTCAAATATTTCATGTGCAGTATCTCATTAATTTACGTTTTTAGTATGGTTTTATTGGCCAAATTATTTTACTTTTTCTGGAAAATATTTTTATTCCTTTTTTTCTTCTGAAAATTGTCATTTGTAATATTTAAATTTAGCTCTTAATTTACAATTTTAGGACATTTCATGTAGTTTAAATTCTTAGCTGTCATTCGTCACCTCATATTTAAAACAAAGTAACTATTACAAAGTCTATTTTGATGACTCGTGACAGTAGCTGCATTTAAAATAAAGTATCATTTTTTTATTAATCTGTATGGCTTTACTCTTTGTAGCTATTGGACCAGAAAGCACCAACTAAGAGACTGAGGCAAACTAATGTTTGCACAATTTGGGACTTCCCTCGTTTTCACTCCCTTTCCTTGACAGCCGGTTCTTTCCCCCTCTCGCACATCTTGGAAGGTTTGACACATAATTTCTTGGCTGTTTTTTTTTTTTTTTTTTTCTCCACCTCTCGGTTTCCCTTCCCACGTTCATTTATTTCACTGTTTACCTTTCTTTGACTTCCTGCCTCAGCCCCGGCTGCTTCTTCAGTGTGTGGAAGCTGCTGCAGAAGAAAAAAAGCTGTTCTTACCCAGCGTATTTTTTCTTAGCCACGTTGGCCTTGTTGCTCGCGCCGCAGTGACCTGCTGTCCCAGGAAGCCTGCAGTTCAAACGCTGGCGGTGCCGGGACAGCCTTACCCTCTCGTTTGGGCAGTGGAAACATTTTCCAACTGCACGAATACTCCGGCATCCAGTTATTGCCATTTTGGCTGGCGTGAGGCAAATAATGATAACGATGGAGTAATTCTAGACCCACGCCTTCCCGCAGAGAGGAGAGATTCGCTTGTGACAGGTTGCGTTTGGTCCTTCAGCTGTCTGCCAGGGTGACCACCTGAGGGGCAGGAGCGCGAGAGGAAGAACACGAGCAGGTAAGAGAGGTCCCTTGTCGCTGCGCAGCTCCTCGCCTGGGTCAGCAGTCGTGGAAGCAGTGAGTCACGGGCAGGGAGGAACCAGGTAAGCAGGGTTCAATTTTAAACCACAACAGTGGGCTGACGTGGAAGCTCGTCCAGATGAAGCATTATAATGGGAATAATTAAGTTAGGCAAACGCCAAGTTCCTTCCTACCAAAACCCAAATAAATCTAAAACCAACCCCTGCCCCCTTCAGCAGCTGTGTGTCTGTGCTAGGCACCTCGCTGGGCCGGCGGCCCTTGCAGGGGCACCCGGGGTCTGGAAATCAGTTCCCAAAAGGCTGTTGCAGGCGACATGGGGCTGCTCGGCCCCGGGGGCTGGGACAGGCTCCCACCCTGCCAGCTCACGGCGGCCTCCACGTAAACCCCACCAGCACGCTGTGCCGACAGCTCGCGAGCGGGTCCGTGCTGCCTGTCCTTGCACAAGGACCTGCTTCCTCGGGGCGACACCGACACCGGGGTGGCTGTTGTGTATGGAATTAATTCCAGTCCTTGTTGGGGGTGAAAGGATGGGCTGCAGCATCGTTTACGCTGTGTGATTAACCCCGAGTGCTCCCATGAGCAAGTGTGAAGCAGCAGCAGTGGGTGCAGCTGCTCCCAGCGGGGCGCGGGGCTGTCCTGCCGGCGCCGTTGGCTCTGGGGCTGAGCGCGAGCTGTGCTCTGCCTTTTTTTTTCCTGGGGCCTTTATGTTGTCTTAAAAAAAAAATAACAAAAAATCAAAACCCAAACAAATCCTCGAACAGGCGAAGCAGAAGCTTGCTTTATTCATGGTCTGAGGCTGTTGCCACAGAGAATTTTTGACCTTTTGCTCCCGATGAGGAAATTTGGAGGCTGCTGGTCAAAACCAGCTCAACACGTGTGGTCTTTAAGCGTGCACTAATTGACAGGAGTGTAGACTTGATGGACCACCAAGTTGCAGCTGCATTGTTCCTTGATATAAGGAAGGTAAATATTCTCCCTCATTCTTATATAAATAATATGCTTTTTTTTTCTTTTTTTCTTTTTTTATTAAATTAGCACTAGCTGGGTTTGCAGCGCTGCATGCCTGGGCCGGCGGCTGCAACCAGCGTTCATGGGGGTGGGCTGAGCCCTCCTCCGCACGCCCAGCCACTGCCAGGAGCTCGGGGACCATCCTGGTTTCCAGGAACAGACGGAGGTGACAGCATTTTGGATGGTGGCCGTTGTTTCTGCAGTGAAAGATTTTTTTTGGCGGTATTTGTTCAGCGCTGCAGCCGCACAGCCAGGCCATCGCACACAGAATTTGACCAAGCGAGGGTTATTAGTCTGGTCTGTGAGCAGCCAGTCCCGGAGCAGTGCGGGCTCTCAGCTAAGCCCTGCATGGGCTGCCTGCGCGGAGGTGGAAATTCATTGTTTTAGTCCCATATTTGAGTGACCCCTCACAGCTGATCCTCGGGCATTTGGCTGAAGAGGAAGCATAGAAGGAAAAGCCTTATGCAGGGTTAGGTGCTGTTGCAGCACTCCTTTTCCCATTGTCATACTGAGATATTTATTATTGGTAAAGAAACTGCGCCTGGGACTGATTGTTTGTGTCAAAGGTTTCCTTCTTGATGAGTCATGGAGTTTGTCGTGACTGTGGCTGACGGCCAGATGCTGAGATCGGCTTTGCTTCATGCCGTGCTTCTCTCGTGTTTCTGCAGTTGCCCCAGCTGCGCTGACCCGTGCCAGGGCCAAGGTGGGCACTCGTGCTGAGCCACGGCTGTGCCGATATGTCTCCGGTGTCAGGCAGTGTCATGGCTTGACCCCACCCAGCAGGATGGGGAGAGGAGCAGGGGGTGAAAGCAAAAAAAGCCCCGTGCATTGAGATAAAGAGAGTTTAGTAAGTAAAGCAAAAGCCGTGTGCGAGCAAAGCAAAACGAGGACTTCATTCACCACTGCCCACCGGCAGGCGTTCAGCTGTCTCCAGGCAAGCAGGGCTCCATCACACGTAACAGTGACAAACGCCATCACTCCAAACGTCCTTCCCCCTTCCCCCTTCTTCCCCAGATTTACATGCTGAGTGTGACAACATACCGTGTGGGATGTCCCTTTGGTCGGCTGGGGACAGCTGTCCTGGCGGCGTCCCCTGCCGGCTCCTGGCCCACCCCAGCCCGCTCGCCCACGGAGGGGCGTGAGGAGCAGCAAAGGCCCTGACTGTGTGTGAGCGCCGCTCAAAACATCCCCGTGTTGTCAACACTGCTTTGCTCACAACTCCAGAGCCCGGCTCCCTGCCAGCTACTGTGAAGAAAATTAGCTCCATCCCAGCCAAAACCAGTACAAGCAGAAGAGAGTAGTTCCTCTTTTTTTTTTTGCAGGTTTTCTGGGGAAGCCCTGGTTGCAGGGAATGGTATCTGGCGGGTGCTCGGGACTCGGCAGCGCCATGTAAAATTCAGGGCTGCGCTGGAGAAGAGCTGATGGCAGCAGACACCGAGATCCTGAAAGAAGGAGAAACCAGACACCCCAAATGAAAACAGGAGGATATAATTTATAGATGTAAAATATTTTTATTTGTAAATGCTGATCTTCTAAATCTGTTTCCACAAATTCCAAAACCCATAACACTCTGTATACTTCAAAAAATTCTTTTTTTTGTGGTGTTTTTCTTTTTTTTTTTGCCAACATTAGATACTATTATACAGAACAGAAAAAACTGTAGGACAAATACTGGTAGGATGTTGGAATATTGTACAAGAGAAGAAAAATATTCAAGAAACAATTTCATACAGCTATTTATCAAGAGAAAAATATATACAATTGATTTATTCTGTAAGATAAAAATACATCATGCCATATACATTACAAGTTCAGAACTGTATTACTGAATATACCAACAGTTTACAGTCCACTTTAATTGTGCACACAAAAAAAAAAAACTTCATTTTTTTTTTTATATTTAGCCTGTGAAGTGTCAGTACCAGAATTTTAAGTACAAAATAAAAAGCTAACCTGGTTCAAAATGCTGATTAAATTTCTACAAGCAAACACAAAACAGTGTTTTATTTTTTTTTAAAGAAATGTAAACAAAAAACAATCCATACAAACACATCTTTAAATTACATTTTCCAAACCCCTATTGCCAGAGTCCTGCAGCTGCATGTTACATCTAATTTTTTTTTTTTCCGTGTTTTCCTTTTACGAAGGCTATCATCATCATACCATACCATACCATACCATACCATACCATACCATAGCGCAGCGTAGCATAGCGTATCATATCAGACTTAAGCTCCCACTACATGATTCTATGCTGTTTACATGGTTTAATGCCGGCCGAACGCTCACCTAATCTCGACTACTTTTGCTGAAGAAAAAACGATGTCCAGCCTCTATTTTGGGTGGTTTTAGCAGTTATTCACAGTTATCACAAATTGTAAGCACAAAAAACCTGACTTAAGAAATAGGGATGCAACAATATAATACAAATAAAATTAATCTAAATTACCCAAACATCTACAAAAGTCAGAGTTGTAATATACACGCCCTTACCAGGCTTAAGGTTTACTTAAAAAAATTCTCGTAAGACCACAGTTGAGACTGCTTGAAACATAAAAAACCCCGCTCTCTTTAAACTGAGATTTTGGTTATTCCGTAATTGTAGCCACGTGTCTGTTAATACATGAGCTCATATTGTAACATCCCTATTGACGTTTTATAATAAGCACCCGAACTGCTGCAGAGTCTGGTAGCATTTGGTCAATAACTATTTTTATACTGTATTTTTTTTTCTCAAAATATTTACACTTTTGTACAAAGTAACAGAGTTTGTTAGTTCTGCAGGTAACAGCAGCAGCTTGGCTTTCTTCTAACTTTCTTTTTAAAAATAGCTTCATTCACTTATTCAATAATAAATACAAAAAGGTTCTCTTATTTTACAGAAATCAAAAACTACAATAAACTGACTCATGGAATCAAGTATTTAAATGTATTTTAGTGCAAGTTATTTTTTCCCTTAGCTCTATCCCTAAGGAAGTCGTTTCAGTACATTCCTTGTTCAGTGGTGTCTACTTTTATTTAAAATTTTTCTTTAATTAGAGGGCCTGCCCCTTTATCAAATAAGGCTGTGGCCAGCACTTTGGACTTCTCCCTTTCGCTGGTGATTTCAGTCTTACATTCATAGATGCCCACCTGCACGCCCGCAGGTCGGCCATCGGTTCTTTGCCCAAGTTACACAGTTTCTCCTTAGTGAGCTCAAAAACAAAAGTGCTGGACCATTCTGTTAATTCAGTTTAACCTCCATGTGTCTGGAAAGTTTGCTTCGGATTTTGCCGGCTTGCTTCTGGTGCTTGTTTGGTGTTTTTTTTTTCCTTTTGAAATACTTGAGTAGAAATCCGTACTTCCAGAAGTGATTTTTTTTTTTTTCTCCCCTTCAAAAAGGCAACAATTTTCTGTCGACAAAATCAAAACGTGAATCACTTCTTCCTAGGGACAAGCAACCCTCAAAGACAGCAAGGAATGCATTCTAGTTCATCCACTTTCGGCAGTTTACAGCTCCACAGTGACATGGAATCTTGTGCTGGTCATCTTCAAAATCAAACTTATAGTCATAGCACAGCTGGAAGAAGAAGAGGCGGGAGAATGGTGATGGAACAAGCGGGGTTTGTCACGGCTTGTACTTACAGGTTAAAGAGCAAAACACGCCGGAGGCTGCACTGGTGGGGATGGCGCGGTTTGGAAGGGAAGAGGGGAAGGAAAAGGCCGCTCTCCCCCACCCCAGCACAAACAAGGTGTGCTCCTGACCGCCGGAATCACGGAAGGATCTAGAAATGAATGCGAGCAGCAAGAATGAAGCAAAACCCAACGAGAGCGCCATACCTCCTCCCCCTTCTGGATTCTCCTGCTGGAGCTAATGATAATTTTGTGTCCTCTCTCAAAAGTCACCACCTCAGCCACGCAATTCGGTGCGCACGAATGGTTGATGTACCTACGAAAACAGAGTTTGAACAAGGTAACCTTTTAAGGAAATGCATCCCTTGAGGCAAATCTAAACCAAACCTTAGAATGACCTCAGCTTCAGGGGCTCACTGACATTCCAGATATAATTACATTACTTTGTACTTGTTTCTTTACCTAGAAAATGTCAAAAAAAATCAAACGTTAAAAAAAATTCTATTCTTTCTTCATAGCTGCCGCGAAACATAATCAAAGATGAGCAAAGCTAATGAAAAAGAAGACATTATTTCAGCAGAATAGTCCAAAGACTGAATGTACCAGCTTGGAGAATAAAAACCATTGAGAAAGCCACAAACTTGTGTCCCTGACACACAGCCCCCGGGCAGGGACAGGGCTGAGGCCCCAGAAGGACATCAGAGATCTCTGCAGAGCCACCCACCTCGCAGGGCCTCCCGTCAGCGTGGCATCGATGACGTGGTCATTGTCAATGCGGAACATGTACACGCCGCGATTCTGGAAAACAGAATTGGAAAAGAGACTCTTGTGGATTTCACGTAACTGTCAACGTTTAAAACGCAGCAGCAGCGTGGACTACGTCTGAGTGTCCTCCTGCAGCCAGGACCAGACTCTGCCCCTGGCGCCGGGTGGAAGCGCGAGTCACACGCTGCCCCGACCCTCCCTGGTTTGTGGGGGAATGGATGGGGCAGAAACCCAGATCCGGGCGAATTAATATTTCCCTAATAGCTTCTGTAGGGCTTCTCCTCTGGGCCCCTGCCGTGCTTCACAAACACGTGCTAATGGTTACAATAGCACTGAGTTACACAAAGGAAGTTGCTTAAAATTTGAAGAAGTTCTCATTAAAAATTGAGGTCCTGACATCTCTGTCAGAACTCTCTTTGTCCTCCGGGACAGAGGATGTGTGTTACCTGCCTGGCCAGGGAGCTGTGAGATTTATTAAACATTTAAATACTCTGATCCTGTGACAAGAAACACTGTAGACGCCTCTGGTTATATTTTTAACCTATTGCACTTATAGCACAGCAGGAAACAGAAATGGGGGATGTGAATTCATCAACTAGAAGAACAGCGTTTGTTTTGTTGTATGAACATTTGAAGGGAGAAAGAAACAGTCAACAAACACCACCCGTACCTGAGATTCATAAAGCTTCTCTTTCCTGTTTGCTACCTCATTCCGGATAATAGTTCCGATATATTCAATGACCATAGTGTGCTTTTCAATGTCTCTAGCAGCATATAAGCCCAGGCCCTGCAAAAAGTATGTTATGATTTACAATTCTGTAATTAATTTACATTTTCACTGCATTCCTCACTGTGCCCCAAAACCGTTCCTGCAGAAAAACACGTGAAAAGTGAACGACGCAGACAGAACAGAGCAGCGCACATCAGCCACTGATGTACCAGCCCAGATGCAGCACCCGCCTGACGTTCAGTTTCCGAGAAGCGAGAAGATGTACTTGGCTTCTGTCTGGTGGGAAAGCTGCTCTGACAGCTCTGACATCACACTGGGTAAAGAGTGTAAATTCACTGAAGAACAAAACGGGCCTTACTACAACGGAGAAACCCAATAGGAACAGAGCAGCACAGTTCAGTCCAACCTAAAATAAATAACAACTGTGTTCACACACAGCGAGATTCGTTACAAAGCTGCTGCAAAATAGTCCGTGGAGCAAACCACCAACAGAAGTACGTAGAGCAACAAATTTCTTCTTACGATGAACGCAAACAAGTACTGAACTCTCCATGCTGGTCGCAAGCCGCTTTACTCGGCTTCTCTGAGCATGTCATACTTCCACTGTATATTTGTGGTTTTATGAAGTTTTACTAAGTTTTTGAAAAATATGCTAACCCCCCGCCAAACCTGAAAGAAACCTTTATCCAAGACGACTGTAACAAATGAATTTTTGAGATATTTACAATAATTAGAAAGAAATCTTACTTAAGATAAATCTGTGGAAGTCATTCGCCACGTAAAAATGGCCAATTTTGGGATGAGACTTGAAGGAATTTTGCAATAGCCGTAGCTTCAATTTTTCAATATAAAACTTCGATGTAAAATATATTAAAATATTAAATTTATATGAAATATAAAAAAAATATACATAAAAGTATAAGCAATTTTTAAAAATATAGATTTCCTAAATGAGAACTGACCTGAATACGAGAGCGAGCTAGATACACGTTGGACTTCCATTCGGTTTTCATTTTGCGGTACTGAGAGGACTTGGAATGGACGAACTGCTTACTGTAAGGCGCGTTCAGTTCTCCCGTAACTGTGCTCTGAAATGACTTCGATGTGCTGGTGCTATTCAAGGTGTGAGGCCTGTAGGAATTGGGCATATAACAGGAAAGAATACAAGACAAACTGAAGATTTCTCCGAAAACAGCCCCAAAACCCAATAAAAATCCTCTGAGACGTACAGACACTTAAAGCCAGCTAGCATAGACACAAAGCAATTCCTCTGCTCGGGGCATGCACATACACAGCCAAAGACGACAGGGTTTGTAAGCAGCAGACGAAAGCACAAATAACCCTAAGCAGCCTATAAACCCTGGGCTGTACTATGTGAAATTAAAACAAAATACCTTAACACAAACCTCTTGACATGGGTACTCATTTTAGGCTCGGCACGGGCACAGCCCGTGGGGTTGATGGCAAGAGGGAGTTCCATTAAGGGGTTTCGGCCATAGCGGAAAGTGTAGTTCTCGCAGGCCTCAACCCCTGGCAGCTGCAATAAAACAGAGAAAAAGACAAAAAATCCAAGTAATTATACGTTAATCGTGCGTAACAAAATATTTACTTTTCCACGCTGCGTCCTGTTCCCCTTCTCATGTGTATATGAGATACCCGAAAATTTGGGGTGATCCAGCAAGATCCAGGATGGCGAAGACTCACCGATTCGGCAATCCTGGCCACTGCAGAGACTGTCAAACCAAAGAGGTCTTCACCCTTCAAATAGCCGGGAAACAGCTGGAGCATTTCAGATTCTTTTCTAACAGAAGCAACGGGCTCCAAGATTTTATCCCACACACCTACACAACCATACGGGAAAGAATTACAGTGATCAAAAAAATAAAAGCCTATCGCACTGGTTTTACAACGAATGCCTGAGGGTATCAGGAACCAGAAACCAATACTGAAAAAGCATTTTGTCCTTGGTTGCACACACAAACAGGCTGGTGCTTAAAAAGCAAAGCGGAGAATCATTTGGAAAGTTGCTATTTTGTCCCGAACGAAACCCTAACACGCAGGACATTTCTACCGCGCCCTTGATTCTTGGGCATGGAGCAGCACGGAAACTTTCAGTTCTCTGACAACAACGAAATAGACAGATTCTGCTGAGAAAACCTGCATAAAGTAGAAGATTCTGAAAATAAACTATATATTCTATTTCCGTTGATTGATTATAGTCAGCTCTCCATTGTACGTGGCTAATCCTCTAGGCACTGGTTGGACTGGGCAGAGCGAGGCTGAGGGGTTAGGACCCAGAGCGCCGCTGGCCACGTGCCCGTTCCTGTGCCATGTTCCTAAGACCTGCCCATACGGTTATGGTCTCGTGTACTCTTCACCCTGCCAGAGACAACGTTACCCGCCCTGGCAACCGCGTGGTCCGCTCTGCTCTCTTTGTATTGCCTACCAACTTCAGCACAGCTGACTGGAAGATGACTGAGTAATGACATTGCATTTAAACAAAGTCACTCTTCATGAAAGGAAACCTACACTGACATGCCTCCTATTTTAATTCATTTTCAATACTCAATGTTGGGTCTCCTCTGTGAACTTGTAACAGGTCTTCTTAATTGCTGTTGGAGCAGGTCCAGAGGAGGGTCACCAAGATGATCCGAGGGCTGGAGCACCTCTCCTATGAGGAGAGGCTGAGAGAGATGGGGTTGTTCAGCCTGGAGAAGAGAAGGCTCCGGGGAGATCTTATTGCGGCCTTCCAGTACCTAAAGGGGCTACAGGAGAGCTGGGGAGGGACTTTTTACTGGGGCATGTAGCGATAGGACGAGGGGGAATGGCTTTAAACTGGAAGAGGGTAGGTTTAAATTAAATATTAGGAAGAAATTCTTCACTCTGAGGGTGGTGAGACACTGGCCCAGGTTGCCCAGGGAAGTTTTGGCTGCCCCATCCCTGGAGGTGTTCAAGGCCAGGCTGGATGGGGCTGTGAGCAACCTGGTCTAGTGGAAAGTGTGCCTGCCCATGGGAGGGGGTTGGAACTCGATGATCTTCAAGATCCCTTCCAACCTAAACCATTCTACGATTCTATGATTCTAGAAGGTTCTTCAAAGGTGTGCTCAGTCTTCATAGCATGACAGTAAAAACGGGCCCTGGAAGCTCACTATAAGCATTACATTAGAACAGTGCCTGCAACATGTCATTTGAAACATCGATCATATCTGATAAGTAGTAACAAAACAAACATCAGAACCATTGAAGTCACAACCTTCGTTCACAAAATTTACCTTTTGGTGTTGTGTCAGTAAGGACCAGATCTTCATGGCCTTGCTCCACAACCTTGATGACAAATAACGGGAGCCCGTCCTTCTCCTCAATCGAACAGAGATAGCGACAGCGTCTGTTTGCGTATCTCATGCTCCAGTACAACCGGCTGGCCTCGTAACCCACGGGGAAGAGGGCCTTTGAGGAGTGGAAGGCCTGCATCTGCTGTGGCAGCAGCTGACCAACTGCATGGAAAATCAGGCTTCCCACGCGGAAAGTGTGGTCACGTTCTCCTCGCTGAACGATGCTGGCGATCTGCCGCACTTCGTCCCGCTGAACGTAGACCCTCCTGAAGACTGCAAAGTAACTAAGCTCTTGCTCATGAGTTCCCTTTGGTTTGTGCATGGGGCAAAGCATGGTCTTGTCTTTAAAAAACATACATTGTGCTTTAATGGCACAGGTAAAGTGATAAATATTGGTGCACCTTAACCTGTGACAACCGCTGGTGGCACCCATTTTGTGACAAAACATGCATTTCATTTGCAAGCCTCTCCGCAGTGCTAGTTCCACATTTATTAAGGCACCAGCTTGTGTCTCGTAGACTTCTGTAGACCAAAGAGCACAGTTCAAATGGACCCAAAGGTCTAAATCCAGGTTAAGAAGCCTTGCTGGTCCATCAGTTAATCCATCACCTTCCTCGTGACAGAAGCAACATTTCCTATAGTCTTTAGGCACAGGATCTGGTTTAAGGGTTGTGCCCAGTTTTTTAAGAAATTCATCTATTTCTTCTTCGCAAGGAGATTTGAATGATCCTTTAGGAATCACGATCTGAATGCTCCACTTCTTCCATTTCATACCTTTCCATTTCTTACTTGGAGGCCGACAGTCGTCAAGACTACCGTGTATTGCTTTTAACCTAGGTTTTAGCTTCACCGTTACCTTAAGCTCATCGGGTTTCGCCTCTACCTTGGCTGCTTCAAACGCAGGGGGGAACATGATGGGGGGTGATGACGGGGGAGAAACTTTCTCCTGCAACTGAGGCAGACAGTGGACGTCCAGCGTGGAGATGTTGTTGCTGTACTGATGGAATGCTTTAGGCGGCCTGTCTTTCATCGGCGACTGCGGCAAAGACGGAACTGATTCCTGATAAACCAACAGAAAACTCTTAAGAAATAAATCCCAAACCATTAATCATTAAATGTCTCTTGAAAACACTGCCAGGTCAGAGCTGAAGAGGCTACACAAAAAATCATGATGCAGCAACAGAGAAAGACGGAAATTACCCCGACGCGTGTCATCACAGCTTACGCCGAGATACAGAGCAAAAAAAGTTCTCCCAGTCAACCTAGAACATGGTGCCCTTTAACACAGAAGGGGAAACACAAATAATCCTTTGTCCCGGGGTTTTGAATGAAAAACTCATCGATTGCCCTAGACGAGCTAACTGACAGATTTTGTTCTTATGTATTTATAGAAAGTTTTGTAACAACACAAAATAATCTTAAAATATGGGTCACAGAATTACTTTAGAGAGTAAGCATCTCGTTATTTGGTAGACGGGGAAGATTTGGAATTAATGCCACATATTTTTCCTGGAAACAAGTAAGGAGGAAATTCCTGCAGGGCTGCAGATTAGTCATACACCTTGAGGACTTAACTATTCACTCAGAGTAAACAAGAATTAAACCCACAGAGATTTGTTAAAAAGAAAAGGGAGAGAAAACAAGAACAACAAAGGAAGTTTAGATTAAAAAGCGCTTAATGTGGCTTGCATGATTAATCTTGAAAGAGTAAATGAAGGGATCAAGAGGCTGAACATGACATTTAATTAACTTAATTATGTGCATGCTGATGCACTTGTGCAGAAATGTTACCCTGTTTAAATACTAGTGAAAATGAGCTACACGGGACACTAAAAGGATGAGGATGTAAACACATTTATCTTCTCTTCCAGTTTTCTTTTTTTATTTCTGGAAAAATAAGAAGGATGCGTTTGAAAGAAAGCTGCATATTCTACAGTAAATATAGCACTATGAGAAGATGTGAATTAGGTAATGATTAAAGCACATGGCCCATTCTGTCCACTGCTTTAGGGGAAAACAGGTAAAAGTAGAAACCAACAAGAAGTACTCAAAAAGTTTTATCAAAGAGCAAATAAACTTATCAGGATCATTTAGTCTTGAATGAAGACTATTCTATTTTAATGATTAAATGAGGAGAGATAAATTTATCTTCCCTTGAAACAGAATGAACCTGGACATAGCAAGAACCAATGCCCTGCGCGGCAGCACTGCGTTCCTCGGAGGTGGTGTGCATCCCAGCAGTGCCCGGAGCTGGAGAACCACAGCACAGCAGCCGGGACCACCCGAGAAAAACCCTGGCCTAATTCCACTTGAAATGGAACAAGCTTCTTAAAACATTTTTTCCCCAGGAATTGCAACTTCTTTTTCCTCGTCGCTGCCAGTTAGCAGGCTCTTTAATAAAGTTTTGGTAATTAGGGCTTTAAAATGGTTACTTTGCCCAAATAAAGTAACTGAGTAAGATTATTTTTCCAGTTACATCGAACAAATAAAAGTCTATTTGCAAACTTGCTGTTCAGCTATTATTTGCATGGTTGTATGGTTTTTTACTGTAGAAGCCAAATCACAATGCAGAAAATAGCCCTTAAAGATGTATCTATGGTTTCACAGAGAAGCCCAGAGAAGTTAAATTACTACTGTTCGGCCATGCATCTCTGTCAGACAGAAAGTTCTGCAAATACGAATTTAACTTCATGCTGCTGGTTCAGAATCTCAACGGCCGAATATAGAACAATTCATTTCTAAACTTCTAAAGCAAAGTGCAAACTCCCGCCTGTCCCCCCTTCATTTCTGTCTTCAAAAAATAGGTGTCATAATTTCTGCTTACCAGGGTCTGCCAGCAGTCGATACTTACTTTGTTCTCTGAGGTTTTTGCTTGCACAGCTGCTGAATAAAGAAGAAAGCAGTTGTTGCTACAGAATACGATGTCCTTCATTTTATCAGAGCCTTCTTGGGAATCCTGGGAATCAAACACGGAGGATTATCAGAAGTGCATTTTAATACCATTCTTCACATAATAAATATCATGAAACAAGTCTTCCAATCTGGCCAGAAACTCTTTATTTGTAGAACATTTGTGAAATAATGAGCGACACTGTGATATAAATACTTGATTATTTGACAGATCTAACGTTACCACCACCTACAACCTTGTGCTCCAGCACTTCTTGCCTTTAACAGAAGTTTAACAATCAAAATAAAGCATTCTATACCATGCACCCATCTGCTCCATAGGCATACTTGCAAAGTACAATCTATTTTCTTGTACCTTTAGAGAGCAAAAGAACGTCTCATTTCAACCTAATCAAAGACAGATCATACTGTTTTATCTACTGATCCATCTGCCAAACATTACTGGGAATTCAGTGCTTCTCTGACTACACGAACCCATTACTTTTGTATATAAATTTTGACGATATATCTCTGTTGCATAATTATCTCAATCTCATTCAAACAAAGAGCAATGGTACTTTTTTGAGTGACAGTTCCCAGTGCAAATACTCCGTACTTGCGGACAGCCATAAGGAGCAGCTTGGGATAGCGTTTCCACAAGAAACAATGTAAAATACAAAACAACTGAGATGGAAATCTGACTCCTGCTCAAAACAGTTTCAGTATTTTTGCTCTTCTAGTACTTTCTGACATGACGATACGGTGCTGCCTGACAAATAGGCTCCTTTTGAACTAAGGTCCCTGCAGCGGTCATGGAAGGAGGTCAGCAGCAGAATTCAGGAAGCTGCCGTATTTACTGAAATTCTTTTTATGGAAGTAACAACTTTGACATTTCTCATTTCTACTACCAATGTGCTTCAGTGTCCCATCCTGAAACAGGACACATAGAAGGGAGATGACAAAGAAACTTGGAAGTGGTATCAGCTTGCATGACAAGTGGTAGTCTCTGCCTCACCTTTGTTTGCTCATTGACCATCACACACAAGAAACCATACTTCCACTGCAGTACCTGTTTAAGGAAAGGCAGGTCTTTGAAGGACTTCCGCACACCGCTACCAAGAACCACAACTTTGCAATGAGAGCACCATCGAGGTCTCAATGCTGAGCCTTCTGCAATATTCTGACCGTGATCCTTATAGCCAGCTACGCCTAGAAAATAGAGAAGTCTGTTAGAAGCTGTATCAGATTAAACCACATTTATGAGAAGTCACAGTATTCTTCAGTGGTCCAGAGGTGTAGCATCCTCCTGGCCAGGGCATGGAAAGCAAGCACTAAACTAAACTAAACATCATCCTGATGGGGAAATTGTTTAATCTAGCCCAAAACCAACTGTGCAAACAAGGCAAAAATACGTTCTTGTGTAAGAAATGAATAATGAAACCAACATAGGAATACATGCTTTAACAATTGTGTCAAGTTTTCCAGCAGAGGAACAATCTTTCTGAATGATGGATTTACAATCAGACGGGACAAAAAAACCTAGCAAAGTTGGGGATTACTGGAAAAAATACCTCACTGACAGTGACATAGATAACGTAACAGAAATCAGAAATGGATCAGACCTATTCATTTATGGTTAATATCAGGAGCAGGTTCACACATACTGACCACATAAGAATATTTAGAACAAAAATCAGTTATTTAATTCTAGAGCATGAATTTATGAGGCTGAAATGCCTTAATACTGACTCAGTTAAAATTTTGGTACTGAAAACTTAAAAGAATGAATGCCTACTCACCATTGCTGTTTGCAGGAAATGGCACATTAGGTTGTTTCAGTCCGTAAGACCCCACAATCCTGGCAGGTCCCATGGATCCTGCCTGAGGACCCTGAAGCAGTAAGTGTGGTCTGTACTCCATAGACGTGTTCACTCTGTGACTGTTGGCAGCTGCCATGGAGGATGGGACGTCTGGAGCATTACTAACCTCATAACTGTTGGGAATTCTGACGTGAAGCAGGTTGGAGAATGCCGCTACAACGCTACTAATGTTCTAAAAACAATAATAAAAACATACCTTTGTTTTCATCAGACAGGCAGTAAGACAGCAATAATATAAATTATTAGAAGATTAAAACAGCTGCTTTATTATACTATAGTATAACCGCTTCAGATTTGTATATATAAAATATATTAACTACTGGTTTATTTCATATATGTAACACAAGCTTATTTCTTTTACCTCAGCAGCTGTGGGATGTAAAGTAATTGCTACAGATATAAGGCCAGATTTAGGACCATTCTGGGATGGTCCAAGCTGAGAGGCAAAGAAGCCAGAACCAGGCAACGCTCCTGAACCGGGTTCTGATTTTATATAATTTCTTTTGGCTTCTGAACCTGAAAATAAAATGAAACACACCAGGTTAATCACACATACACGTGAATGCCAAAAAAAAAAAAAAAAAAAGCCTGGTTCTAATTGTCTGGTCTGCTGCAGTCTCACCTTTTCCAGTACTGCTTGGTAGGATGGGAATGATGGGAGATGGTACAGGTTCTGGGTTCTCCTCCTTTACAACTGACAAGTCTGGATACCTACTTATTTCCATTCCCACCACACTTTCAGGAGAGGAAGAAGGAACAAAGCTGTCGGGAGTGTCCCTGTCCTCACAGTGATCTTGAACCCTGAAATAAAACCCCAAAAAAGGTGTTTTGGAAAACTTTTGGATATGGTTTAAAAACCTTTGGTAAGGCAAAGTTATAAATCATGACGTGGAGCTACCATGAACTTGCTTCTTGCTACTAGTCATGGAACAAAATTATGTGGCAGGCCGTTACTTGTAGGTATCTCATACTCCATTGCACACGGTGGTTTCTTGGGAAAGATACAGAAAGAAAAACAGGCACTAACAAAGGCCAGGCTCCATCATAGAACTGCCTGTTCCCCACGGCTCCATCTACCCGTTAAGTGTGTTCCATCGGTCTATCCTTCCATGCACAGGCTTCAGTGCTTCAAAGCCACCGAACTTTTGGTTAGACAAGTGACAGGGAGGCAACAGGGAAGATCCCTGTAGGGAGACTAACGTTCTAGCAAGCATTTCTCACACGGTAACAGCAACTGAGTGGAGCTGGGGAGTTTTCAGGCTGACTCTTGCACTGTACTGTTGTCTGGTACAGCAGTCATGGTACAACAGTACCAAGTTGCTCCAGGAAAAATATAAATGTACACAGTTTTCTTCCACTATTAATAGAGCAAGGTAATGACTTCTTAACAACCTAACAGGATCCAGAGTCCAGCAGTGGCAGAAGTCACCTTTTTCACTCTGCTGCTCTCTACATGTGGAATGTAAGAGTTATCCAGGACAAATAATCCCACTAAGTTCTCTGCACTCTGTGGCTGTGCACAATGGATTTTGTTTCTTCACACCTTCAGTCTCATCTCTTATTGAAAGATCACAGAATCTGCTCCAAATACGTATTTGAAGATGTCAAGGAAAACCTACCTTAACTCCTCCTGATTGTTGTGAGGTGGTGTTGGAAGTGAAGCAGGAACATCCACAGTTTTAGGACCCTGAGCCATTGCTCTTGCTAATAAATCATCTTGTGGTCTGAAAGGCAACTGGAACTGCTTTGGTCCCAGAGCTTTGGTAACTAAAAACAGAAATGCACAGCACAGTGAGACATCTGTACAGCTCTTCCACTGATACACACTCTGTGCAGCAGGGTACTGGTGGCTCCCTGATACAACCAAGGCATGGCAGCAGATGGCAACACCACTCTCATCCACTTGTAGTTCATAAATTTTTGACCGTTCATGATTACTCTCCATATTTACAAAAACCTGCAAATGTTGAGCAAAAAGGGCTCAAAAGGCTTTTGAGTGTGCCTTCTGCTAGTATGAGAGGATTTTTGCTTTACTTAAAAAAAAGTAAATCAACAACTTCGTAACAACAGAAAAGGGGTTGGAAAAAAGGATTTTAATCACTGAACAGTCCTTAGGAAAAGGCAGTAAGAAGTTTTATTTAATAGGAAGTAATCTCAGTTGACCAAATTACAAGTATCAGAAAATAAAAAATGACTACATACAAAGCCTGCTGAGGACACATTTCAGGGAGACTGCTTTTGAACTCACTCAACTAACTGGTTAGTCATTTGTACATAAAAAAAAATGATCTGAAGGTTTTCTTCTTCATTTCTTAAGAGTGCTTCTAGCTCTCAATATGTTTTTGAAAAGGAAAGGGAATAGGCTATCAGTTGACATACTGGTGTAAAATACTGCTGGATAATAACGATTACAACCTTAAAGAGGTTAGGCATACCGTTTTTGTAAAAGACAACTATATAACTGAAAAGCATCCCAGTTATCTGTTTTGTAATTTGCTGCAAACTTGACTCATGTATTATGGAAACAATACGTATTAGTCTTACCATCATGACCTCCTAACATACCAGCCTTGCCAGCAAGTTCCTCAGTGGTTGCGAAGCCATTTACCAATTTCTGGCACGCCACTGGAGGTGGTGTGGGAGGAAGAGAGGCTGGGGGTGTCGGAGGATTGCTCAGGTTATTCTGCTGCACGAGATTAAAGAACCGTAAATCAGCCATGGAACGCAAGGTGAAAACTTGCCTTGTTCTAGCACTAGATAATGTAACCCACTCACACATGTTGACACCCAGGGGTCGTGCGGATAAACAGCGACTGTTAATTCTCAAGTACGTGATCAAATACATAAAAGTATCTACTAGAAAAGACACAATGCTATGCTTTCCTTCTATCAATATTATTGGAGAAACAGTTTACACGAGGAGTACACATTATTGAAAGAAGATATAGCTAAATTATTTACAGAAAAGCATAAAAAAGCATTTCTAGGAATGGTTTGGGAACCCCAACAAGTTCCTACAGTTGAAGCAAAGGTCTGAACTTGAGAGAGCTATTCCACCGTGACTCTCCACCACCATAAACAAGTCAGCTTACCCAACGCTCGCTAAAAGGGAAGCTACCTCACATTGAGCACAGGCTGAGCTTTCACTGAAGCAGTTACCATGGAGAAGCAGATACTCTGCACGTTCATACTCCGGGCTACTTCTCACTACCTTACTTAGCTGCCCGTATTTTAAACAAAAATTAAACGAGAACTTCAGTATCTGTTCTCATTGCAGTCATGCCTACAAAGCTAATACTTATTATTCACTTTTGACCACAGTAACTATTTCTGCTAGGTCACAGTCTCATCTTAGGTGCCATCTAAGGCTGGAGTAGACACCACTGTTTTTTCATAAGTTACTAAAGTTTTTATACTAGGGTAGCCAAGCAGCAAATTTGATTCTGTCTGTTTGCTGTCTTGCTGCTCTCCCCATATTGCCACTCTGATCTCAGAGACTGAGTTTTAAATTCTGCATGTTATTCACTCATCAACAAACAGTCTATTTTGTTCAGAGTTCTCAGGTTCTTAGTTGGGGCTTAGTGGACAAATGAGGAAAGTCTGTTTCCCATTTAATTCACATTAAGAAATGCTTTAATGCTTTCAATCACTTTGCAAAGTACTGAGAATTCCGCCTTTTCTGCTCCATAAAACTGTAATTACAATTTTCACTATTTAGCATCCAGTTGCAAAAGGAATATTTGTAGTTTTTAATTAGTTAACACCACAGTTTCTAGAACGGATTCCCACTTTCAGAGAGTAAAACAACGGTAACTATGTCACCGCTGCACCATCTATCTAGTCTTCGCAACAGAAAATGATTTTCTTCTGGTTGCATAAAAGGCAAGAACTCTAACCAACCAGCAGTAATAATGTCAGGAACTTCTTTTCCCACAGAGAGCACACAATGGAAATCCAGATTAAAACCGTACCTTGTAAATGAGCTGGGAATAGTAATCCGAAGCCCCATCAAGAGTAGCACTGCCAAAACTTCCTACAAGTCGATTTCCACCATTTAGCTGGCCACTGCCATAGGGAAGAAAGTGTGCAAAGCTCACTCCAATTATTGGTTCCATCAAAGGCAGAAGAGAAAGCTGCTACATTAAAAGAAAAAAAGTTAGAAATTAATTTAACTGTAACACAGAAGCATTGCAGATCTCCAAACATCAGTAGAGTGGTTTCTAATTTTAAAAAATAATTGGAATGTACCCACTGTCAGAAAACTGTGTCAAACACAGGCCTTTCTGTCTGTTAAGGAAGGTGGTCCCCTGCCCACTGGAGCCGCAGCTCCGGCTCCCTGGCAGCTCAGCCACAGAGGCTGCCAGAGCCGACAGGAACTCTGTAGCTTTGAGACTACCAAATGCCTGCCACATCAGTGGATCTTCCAAACTGAAATAAACCTAAATCTTTAAATTTCCTAGTTTTATGGAAGTTTTCATTTTCTCCACCCTGTACTCAACATTCAGCTTAACGGTCAACGTCATTTCCATTGTGAAAAGTCCAGTCCTTCAAGTGTCCTCTTGATACATTACCCCACATCTGTACACCTACCTGTTTTAACTGGATGAATGTATCAGCGTTAGGGTAAATAGCTTGCTTTTCTTCTTCCTCTTTTTTTCTTTTCTTGGACCGAGGAGCTGCCTTCTCTCCCGTCCTCTGAGTTCGCTTATTTCTCTGCTTCTTGGTTTCAGGTCCTACATCTGTTCTTTGAAGCTGGCTGTTACTACACCCAAACGCACCTTGCATCTGGTTTCCTGCAGTTTGCTGGTATAGAAAATGAAAGTGAAATAGAATTTTTGACATTTTAATATACAGTTCATTCAAATTTACTGCACAATAGTCGAAAGAACACACACAATGTAATAAATCTCATCGATAACAAACTGTATTTTATGGTTTGTTTACTTTGCTGTCTCACTGGCAACTTAACTGCTGTACTGTCCCTACACACAGAATTACGACTTATCGTTAACACCACTGGCATCTGAAAATGTCATTAAAAATTCACAGACCAGAAACATTTTCTTTTGCATACCCCCTAAAATAAAGTTACATATGCATGCAACCTCAGAGATTTTCACAAGGGCATACTGAAAGGCAGACTTGGTTACAGAAAAAAGGCGTCTAAGTTAATACAACACAAATGTATTTTGAGGTTAGAAACAAAAACAGTATTGTGAAACACTTCTGAATTTTACCATTTGCTTAAATACTTTCAGCACGAATTTGCAAAGCCATTCTTCACAAAAAAGGAGAGTTGTGCAAAAGCAATCGGAACGGGACTTGGTAACGCAACAGATAGTGGCAAGCCAAAAGACAGTCCAATTTCTTTCTATTAATTATTATTTTAAACAACTCTACATGACCTCTACCACAAGCACTCTCACCACTCTTCCTGCGATGTATGTTTTAACTGTGGATCTTTAACACTTACCTAAGTTACCTGCTGCTAACAATTACGTTTATTTTTATCAGTCTTTATTAATTTTGAATGCGTTTAAATTTTCTTTCAAGGATGTATTTAGAATTTAGACAGTCATAAACAAAAACTGAGTAGAGATTAAATATTACAATAAAACTAACAAGAAATCTAAGTGTAAAATGTATCCGACTTCCACAGAAAGCAATTTTCTATAGGTCTGTTTTTAACCTTATAAATTATTAAATCATATAATGCCATTAATATAAATAATTAACACTCCCTTCCATTAAAGTAAAATTAATTACAGAAATATTCTGTAACACAGAAATACGGCAATTTTAGGAGATATAACAATTTCACACTTTTGATAAAAATCCTAGAGCATAGTTTCTACTAAAATTAGAGACAACATATGATTTTCACAGGCAAAAAATGAGGATGGACTTGCTTGCACAGAACTCTGCCCATGGTGCAGCTGAAGGGGTGTGAAGCGCAGGGCTACACCTCTGCAAAGGCGCACAGCTCACCCTATACGTGACTCAGGTGGAGTCACAGAAGAAAGCGGCACACAGACATACCGTATACTCTACAGAAACACGCTAGCAGGTAATTAAGAGTCATTCTGTAAAATCTTGCCTTTGTGTTGGTACTATTAGGAAGTGGCATTTTTAAGATGATTATCTATAGAAAAATTTTTTCTTGCATTTTAATAATTTCTGAATACGCTGATCTACAAAGTCATATTAAAACTTGTTCTTTTTGTAACACAGATGATTTACTCATGGAGAAAAGGCAGGAAGGGAGGTAAAAATTCCTTAAAGCTGTTTACTCCGCCCTTGTGCAGGTAGGTTACCTCCTCACCTTTTCACAACTGCCTGCAGTAAAGGCACAAACTCGCCTTTGATTGTTGAAGACCACTGTATAGCAAAACCAGTAACAGGCTCACCATTCCTTCAGCTGGATTCTGCTTCTCCGTTAACTTTTTATCCCCAGAAGCCTCCTCTTCTGTTCGGCCGCTGTTCTCCGATTTCTGATTTAGAAGAGATGAGGCCTTCTTATTTTTAAGCAGGTGTTTCAGCAGTTCGTTCCCTGACTCTCCTTTTGCTGCCGGAACGCTAGCTGGTTGTGCTGGACTCTGAGCCGACGAGGCAGACTGTGATGTGACCTTATCTTCTTCCACCTTAATACTGCTTGGATTTTCTGGTTTAGGCTCAGCTTGACCTGAGCATTGATCAGTTTCTGCCTTTTCTAGTTTAACTTCTTGAATGCTGGTAGGCGTATCTGTTTTAGGCTTTTCAGTCTCTGTGTTTACGCTGGGCTGCTTCTGCGGCAGACTGCTGCTGGGGAGCTTAGATTCCAGCTCTGGAGAGGTCTGGCTCTCTCCTGTGTTTGATGTCGATGGGCCCGTTAACTCCACTGCCTCTTGTTCATCTTGATGACGTGAAAGTTCATTGGGGGTGTTAACTGTGGGGGTGGAGGTAGAATCAGAAATGGTTGGAGTTGATGGTGCAGTTATATCTGAATGTGGAGTTGACGGGGCTTTTATTGACTCGGCATCCTCGTCCTTTTTCTTTTTTCGTGTTCTTTTCTTTTTTCCTTTCTCTTCTGGGATTATGTCGGAATACAGCTGGATGAGAGACTGGCTCGATCCAGGGAAGTTTGTTGCCTGGGGCACACTAGTGTCCGAACCACAGGGGGCACCACTACCGAGTACTGCAGATGGAGGTACAGCAGAAGCAAATGGAGGCCTGACTTGGTTCTGCGTAAAGGTGGCCCCGGGGAGATTCCCATGAGTTTGTTTTACATTATGGAAATTAGGGGTTGCACCTGGGACAGCAGATGCATCAGGTCCAAAAGCGGTAGGTCCCACTGGCCTTCGCTCACTGCCTTGCATAAAATTTGTGGCAGGAGGCGAGGTCACAGGACCTTGTTGCAGAATTTGCCCCATTTGTTGCTGTTGATGCTGCGGAGACTGCTGAAGAGGTCGTGGAGTTTGTACAAAATCACAAGGTAGATCAGAATTAAAGAAAGGTATCTGAGATAAGGACGCTTTGTTATTTAATTCAGACCCTATCATACCGTGCTGTTCCAGTTCCATTCTCTGCTGTAAAGCTCTCTGTCGATCTACCTCCTGCATAAGCTGAATGCGCTGCCGTTCCTGTTGCTCTCGTAAACGCTCCTTTCTTTCCCGCTCTTGAAAACTTTCACTAAAAGGGTTATTGTCCTCAAACTCCACCCTTGGTGGTGGCCCTGACTGTGCAGTTGCATTTGGACCAGGCACAGGAGCTGGTGTACTGGGAGTAATTGGCAACGGTGTCATTGGAGGCTGCATCCTTGCTGGATTCATGGAAATATGACTTGCAGGGGCATTTGCAGATTGCCAGCCAGATAAATTCGGCATTCTGGTTGGGTTGGACTGCCCAGGGATTACCACTGTATGTTGTTGATGCTGGAGCTGCGGTGCCACCATGGGGAAGTTTTGCTGATTCATTGCTGGTGATGTTCCTCCTGGAACCATTGGTGGTTGAGCCTGGATGCCTGGCATTATAGCATGGGGTGCCATTCCACACTGCTGCTGCTGCTGCTGCTGCTTGATTCGATATTCCTCAATTAGTTCTGCATGCTCTTTCTGCTGCTTTCGAATCTAAAAATTAAAAAAGTCATTATTCATCTCTGACATGCACTATGTAAGTAGCATAAAACATGTAACCCACCATTGTAATTTCAGCAGACAATGAACCTCAGGCAAAACCAGCATTTCTGCATAGTCTTATTGTCTCTCCCTTTTTAAGGCTATATAGCTGTTATTTCATTAGAAATGCTATCCATCCGAAAATTTTAGAAAAAACAACAGTGCTTCACAGTTCTAATTACATACCAAGACTGCACTGTGCTAGAGAATATACAAATCTACACCAAAAAGTGATCCTTGTCCTATAGATCTTACCATCCATGCACAGGGTAACAACAGTTGGGAACAGACAGGAAAAAGGAAACAGTGAGATGGACAATCTTCACACATCAGCAAAAACTTTTAAAAGATGTAATTGAAAAGGAAAAGTTTGCAGGAAAACAGTGAGGTAGATTCCTGTTTATTCACAGGCAGATCCTCACACATCACACAGCAGATGAAAATGGGAACCACTGCTTGAAAATTTTAAATTTTATGACAAAAATATACTTGACTTGGGACGCTAGAAGTTAAGACCAGAAATTTCTTTTTAAGGCAAGCAGGAGAAACCAATAGAAGGGTATAACAGCATCAACTGGACAAGAAAGAGCATTTCAGAAACATAACAGATATCTAACTACACTGCTCTCTGAAAAATAAAAGGACTTATAGTCCACTGTTTAGTAATATATACTTATGGAAAATCTCTCTCCCACTTCTGTTCATTAGATTATGACTTCCATAACTTCCATTTGCTGTTTATACTGACACAAAAAGTCCATAATATAATTAAAAAGGTTTGATAGCGCTCTCCTTGATCTGGGGCAAGGGACAAGCCAGAAAGCTCAGGATAACAGCGATATCAGAGGACACCCTCCAGAATGCCGGACAGATGTACCCAAAAGGCTATTTACACAGTAATCTCGGGTCCAAGATGATTTATGAGCTCTGGCTTGGCACTGACACCGCCAGATAAACAGTGCCACTGCATAAAGCCAGCAACCAGATCGATCCGCATTGCACAGTCCAGCGCTCCAGGACTTCTCCGTGGGTATACGGCACTAGAGCCACGTTGGCTCTGTCTGCCCATACAAAGAGGCGTCCGAACCGCTACGCCCTCCCAGGGGCTGCAGGGGCAGATCAGCCACGTGACTGTACTTGGAATTAGTTGAGATCTCAAAGGACCAGTGCTGACTACACCCAGCTGGGTGAGCCGACCTGCGCAGACCGACCTGGTGATTTTAACAGTGCAGGAGAGAAGGCGGCAGAGCTCATTAGGACAGGCACAATGCCACACCAAAGCAGTTAAACTGCCCTGGCCACAGAGACAATATGGTCAGGTCTGCATGGCTCTGTGCCTCAGCTAATAACCCCATCAGACATAAGCTCGTGTTGCACAAAGTCAGCTCCAGTTTCTCTGTGCCTTATGTTCAGGACCAGCAATTCACAGGGAATCATGGAATCACAGAATTTTCAGAGTCGGAAGGGACCTCTAGAGATCATCTAGTCCAACTCCCCTGCTAAAGCAGGACTGCCTAGAGCACATTGCTCAGGACTGCATCCAGGCACCTCTTGAAAATCTCCAGAGAAGGAGACTCCACACCCTCCCTGGGCAGCCTGTGCCACTGCTCTGTCACCCGAACTGTAAAGATGGTTTTCCATGTATTTGAACAGAACTTCCTATGTTCCAACTTGTGCCCATTGCCCCTCATCCTGTCACTGGGAACCACCGAGAAGAGTCTGGCTCCATCCTCCTTCAACCCACCCTTTAGATACTTGTATGCAATAATAAGGTCTCCCCTCAGCCTTCTCTTCTCCAGGCTGAAGAGTCCCAGCTCTCTCAGCCTTCCCTCATAAGGGAGATGCTCCAATCCCTCAGTCATCTTAGTTGCCCTACGATGGACTCTCTCCAGCAGTTCCCCGTCTCTCTTGAACTGGGGAGCCCAGAACTGGACAGTATTCCAGTTGCGTCCTCACCAGTGCGGAGTAGAGGGGGAGAACGACCTCCCTCGACCTACTGGTCACACTCTTCCCTATGCAGCCCAGGATTCCATTGGCCTTCCTGGCGACAAGAGCACATTGCTGGCTCATGGATAATTTACTATCTACCAGGACCACCAGACCCTTCTCCTCAGAACTGCTTCCCAGCAGGTCCACCCCTAACCTATATTGGATTTCAGAGCTCTTTTCTCTATATATACACACAGAGACTTTGCCCTTTTCAAAAACTGACAGAAACTTGCTTACAGATAAATTACTTGATCTGATTTGAAAGCGTGGTGAATTGCTTCAAACAGAAGGTCCTTAAAAATATACTTTAATAAAATATTACTTAAGCTCCTACTAGGTATGTAACAAACTACTGTTAAGGATGTGGATGACTGGCCTAAGTCAGTGGTTGAAGGGGAGTGGAGGCCATATACCAGCAGTATACAAAACTTAATTTTCAAAATGAAAAATAAAACAACCTTAATTATGGGGCACTAAATGAATCTGTCAGCAATGTCATGATTAGCAGCTCTTACTTCAACATAACTCCACCGTAAGACTAGACTGACATAGGTATGATGAAGATTGGCTGAAGTGAATTTTTTTTGCATCTATTCTACTTGTGATTCATTGTGGAAGGGAAAAAAAAGGAAGAAATGATGTAGACATAATTTATCTGCTCCATCCTTCTTCCACACAGTGAAAAGACAAGCCAAGTAATATTCCATCCAGTGCATACTTTGTCTTGAAGCAACACAGGAGCAAGAACTCGAGGGTCAGATAACACTTAGGACTTCATTCCAAGCAGCCTGCTGCCAATTTTTTCCCTCATGTTAATAAAAGATAATTCTAA